AGATATATCTATATATATATCATAATTAGTTATGTGAAATATGCAATACAAGTACCAGACTCATTATTATTTCATGTGTATTGAACTGTGTACAATTAATCCTTTCAAAACAGTCCATTTTAAGCTGCTGAATTCATGGATGATGATAGCTGATAACAGTGTTTGTAGCGCCAGATTTATACTTCTTGCCCTGCTAGGTCAGCTGACGTGTGCTGCCCCCCTCCTTTTCTGGTCAACTGGCTATACTTTGTATTACATTATCAAGATCAGTAGTCAAGGCATGCTGAGGCTGGGGGATGAAAAAGACAGTCCACCTAAAACTGACAACTACAAAAGCATGCAAAACTGTCTCTTCTCAGTTAGCAGTTTGTAAAGTGCGATCTTAGGATGGGTGAGCTATATGCAAACAGTACACAACAGTACACCACAAAACTGCATAGGAACAGTTTCAATTAGGATCTAACCATATTGCACTGGCAGGCAGGTCAGCAGTCTGTAATTTTACACAAGAATGTCAGCGACATGACTCATGGGAGGCTGTAGGCTGCCCCTGGCATCCCCTGTTGCCCTAGACAGCAGCCTATGTTGGCTATGCAAAAATCTGCCACCACTAACTGGTATTTTTCTATCTCTACCCACTCATGATAATCTAATGAGCTGACAAAATGTTATTACTTTAGCTTTTGCAACAGTATCTAATTCACAACCAGTCCTATCAGCCTGTATCTTAATTTACCTTGACATGTTAAATGAGCAATTTCAGACTCAGGTGGAAGTCATGTGCCCAGAAAGTTAATCAAATAAAGTAAAATTTCCAAAAGGTTCCTAGGAAAACCCATGGAAACCAACACAAGTTTTGTTTTTGATCCACCAGCTCCAGTTAATTAACAGAGAAGCACTACATATTGTAGAGGTTGCCACACTACATTAATAAAATAGAATATACTTACAGATTTCTGAGGCCGGTATAAATCTTAACATCATCTTCATTGATTGAGGCGAAAAAACGTTGGTTTGCAATGTAGCTAAAGAAAGAGAATTGAGCAAAAAATTTAATGGAATACCACATTATCTATGTGAAAACGTAAATAATTTTTTACAACAGGTGAGATGAACCTTGATGAGTAGAACAAGTTAGTATCTGAAACTGAATATTTGAGGATACATTCAGTAATGTTACTATAATGTTACTAAAAGTTACAATATTTTAAAGGTATGTGCAATACAGTTAAAGGGTCAATCCACCATTTTTGTTTGTAGAAGCCAGAGAGTTAAAACACCTGATAATTTTTATATGTCTTGGGTTGTTTCATCGGGTTGTGTGATGCTCCTCGGGTTATGATGGATCAGTTTATTACTTTTTGGCTTTATGATGGTACAGTCGACCCCCGAAAATAGTGGGGGTTACCTTCATAGAGCACCCGTGAATTGTGAAAAAACACAAATTTTGAATGTGGTCAAAAAATGCCTATAAATGCCTATTTTTATAGTTTAAACCCTAAATATGCCCCCAAAACACTTTAATATAATTTCAAACTCAGCTTAATACATTACCCTTAAAAAAAAGAATGTAAAGGTAAACCTGCATACTGTACAGTACTGCTATGTCTCCCGCAGTGCTAGAATGTGAAATACTGATGTTACCCCTATATGGGAAAAATCCGTAAGCGACTGAGGGTGCGAATTCTCAACCGCGACTTCGTGGGGGTCGACTATATACTATAGCAGCGGCAGGGCCCTCACGTTAGTGTACACAGTATATCATAGTCTAGCATACCTTGAAGTGTTGAATATCTCATGTATATACAACTCCCCAAATAAATCCAATCCAAATATTTGCGATATGATCACCTTACAATGGGTTTATCAGAACTTAACCCCATCGTATACCGAGGAGTGTCTGTATTTCATCTGTGCATTTAGAAGTTTTCCTGTATTACAGCTTTAAATGTTAGGGTTTCTATTTTAGACACTAATGCAATATACAGCTATTACAATGGCTCTGCCTAAATGCTTAAAGCGACATTAAACCTTCAAGGTTTTTTTGATTTTTTAATTAATTGGGCCAGACTTACTATAAAAAAAATTTTGTTTGTTGTTTAGTTTTTTAATGTCCTTGTTCTCAACGTGTTCTTAACTTACTAATGGGTTATTCAAAATGAATACAGCTTCCCAATATTTCCTAAGCTGAGTAAACATACCAAAGCTTGTTTGTGTACAAGTAACACAGTAGGAGGACTTCAATTATATAACTAGCAGCAGAAGAAAGTAAGGGACGCCGAGAGAGAAGCAAGCAAAGCGTCAAAGAAGAAATACTTAGAAGGGAATAAAAAAAAAATCAAGAAACGTATTTTCTATGCTGTAAAGAAAGGTAACATTAGCCTTTGTGCACTTCAAATATCCAATTATGGGTGGGGGATTTGAAAAACCTGAGCTTTTTCTTCACATAATTGGATGTTCGAAGTCAACACGGGTTTATGTCACCGCACTTTCCACTCTCTCATGTCTGCCAGCAACAGTCTGGCTTGGGAAGAGTTTAGATATATCCTGGCCAAGGAAATTTTCTAGCAATTTCAACCATATTTTGACTGCAAAGAAGAACAAATCAAGCCACCCTACCATCACTGTAGGGCATGGTGGATTGTTCTATTCCATTATTTGAGCAGTTGAACAATGGCTGAAAGTTATCTAAATTGCTAGAAAGTGTTTTTTATGGCCAGCATTAAAGAGAGGAAAGTAAGGGTGGGGATCTTATTACAGATTGACAGAAAGAAAAAGAGTAAGCAAATGTATCATTTACATTATTGCAACTGAGCTTTAGAGCTCTAACATCAATTTAAAAGCAAATATACTCTTTGTAATGACTACATGTTGGGGACCCTTAAATAGCAACCACTCTGGTCAAAATGTTTTATTTAAATTCATAGACACTGAACTCTAACAAAGACATACATGAACACACTGAGTTTTGGATCAAGCTAACATCTACTTGCCCCTCCTTGTAGATTGTAAGCTCTTATAAGCAGGGGCCTTCTAATCCTTTTGTGTGGTATTGTATTGTAATTGTACTGTCCACCCATATGTTGTAAAGTGCTGCGCAAACTGTATGCACTCCTCCTAAATACCATATAATAATAGTAATAATAATATTTGGAGTTTACTGTGCACTGCAGTTATGCCTACCCATGTCAGGGTCCAGCCTAGAATGAAGCAGTTGATATATTACTGAATGAAATTGCCAGCTGTATTTATATAGACCTATATATTTTATATGTTTTTCCTGAAGACTAGTGTCCTCCAACCCAAAATGCATGCTTCCTGGAATGTCACCTTGATTTTAAATATGATATTGAAATAAATGATTTTAAATATTTTATGTTCAAATAATGTAATAAACACACAGATATACAATGTATATATATATATATATAAAAATATATCCATATTATTAAAAGTACACTTCAGTCTAGATGGAAAATGAAGACCATGAATGCACAAATTGTCTCCCTACCTAGGCCTAGTTGTAGAGTAGGACTCCCTATTCCCTTTTGTCAGTAATCTGGTGATCTTGGAACCCCTTTTATTGCATGTTAGTAATGCAGTAGAGCTATTCCCAAACTTACCCAGTGAAAGCTACTTCCCATCCCTAGCATACAGAAATCATGATGTGTCATTACAGGGAAGTTCTTTACTGCTTCTTATTTAATTATGAACTGTATTAGAAGACTGAATCTGAATGGTAATACATCATTTAAAAAGAGTACATTACACAGCTCAGACTTCGGGAAGGAAGCCTACTTCCCACAGGTAAGGAGGTTTTTTGATTCAGGTTGCAGTAGATTACATAGAACTGAGATTAAGGTAAGCTAAATGGATTTTCTGTCTTCAGCACATCTGCAGTGTTCCCTAAAGTGCATTACCAGTTCACGGATTGATTTGCCTTATTGCTTGGAATTGCAATTTAGACCTCTTTTTCATGCACCATTTTCTGCAAATGTGGCAATCTGTGTATAATGTCCCTTTAAAGAAATAATATACTTCATGTATAATTTGCTTTGATATGCTACATAATTAAGAGATTAATGGTTAAAAGACATCAATAAACTCAAATTTCTATAGATGATAGCTATAATAGGTTGAGGTATTGCAGATGTATCATGAACTCACTATGCCAGAAAATAATAGATGGTACAGTAAAGTATTTCCAGCTGCCATATACTGTATTTGTCAGTTCTATCATTCTCACTAAGTCACAAACATCTGCAGGACAGGAAATAGACAATGCAGCTGTCTGCTCAATATTTATTTGTTGTCAATGAATAAAAAGCATATATGCCCTTAACCACAGAATGCTTGATAGCTTTTTGCAAATATAAGTTAAAATAATTAATTTGATCTAAATAACTATTTTTAATAAAGTGTAGTAAGTACAGAAATGTGTATATGAATAAAATAGGGATGCACCAATACTGTTTTTTGGGTATCGAGTATGACTACCGATATTTTCTTTTCTATACTCGCCGATACTGAATACAGATACCAGAAGTCCCATTAAGGAAGCTGGGCGGCGTGTAATGACTGGCTTCCTGATTGGCCAGCTTCCCGCCTATTCAGGTAGCAGGGCGGTGAGTCATTACATGCTGCCCGGCTTCCTGATTGGCTGGGAAGCTGTCTCCATGCTACCTTCTCACCAGGTGAGGAGGAAGCATGGAGCCGGCTTTTTGGTCAATCATGAAGCAGGGGGGTGGGTAATGACTCACCGCCCAGGTTCCTGATTGGCCAATCCAACCAAGCGTGTAGTGACTCGGCGCCCAGCTTCCTGATACTGGAAGTTCCACTATCGGGATCTGGAGCATTTGGGCAAGTACGTGTACTCGCCCAAATACTCAGTATCGGCACCGATACTAGTATCGGTATTGGTGCATCCCTAGCATAAACTATGCAGAACCAATTCAATCTAAGGTGGCCAAACTCCTGTGTTCTGTAGTGCTAGATACAGGGGTACATTTAAAAAAATCATCATTCTTTTTCTTATTATTGTTTTTCATTATTCCTACTATTAACAGCAACCCAAAACACATCATGATGTTACATGTCACAAAAAGAAAGGAGATAAATATTCTTAATCTGAGTGGATCCTCAACTAGGGATGCACAGATACCAAGATCTCGTACTTGGTACAAATGCAAGTACTGATACTTTTCCAGCTCCAAGACTAGACTACAGGAAAACTCAAAAGTTAGGAGGCAGCTGTCATATTTAAGGAACATTGGCTACGAGGCTACTGGGATTTGTGCATACTCGTTTTAATGTATGATTTGTTTATATACATACATATCAGTGATGCACCGATACAATTTTTTTCCAGACCAAGTACAAGTACCGATATCTGTACATATCCTCACAGATACCAATTACTGATACAGTTTTTCTTTAGTGTCATGTGACAGTTTTTCTAAAACGATACAGACTAATAATTTCCGGACAGTGGTGGAGTGCCAGGGCCCAGTCACAGCTGAAGCCGCTGCAACCTTGGTAGTTCTTGTAAAAATGCCAAATATCAGCACTGGTATCTGAACTGGTATCTGTGCATCCCTATCCTCTACCCCCATGAACCATGGACCTCACATCTGGTGCTACCTCTAATACCCAATCGTTTATCACTGACCCTATACTACAATCAACAATAAATGTCCATAGCTATTATTTACTTTGCAAACAATTCAGTGAATGTGAGGAAATTAAATCAAACAAATGACACATGATGATTAATCCACTGGTCATTTTTTAAAATTAGAGAAAAAAGGGGACTTTTTCAAGGCTGTACTGAGAAATTCATAAGAGCAAGTGGACAATAATGCCATTTTGGTACAAGTTCCAGCTTTCGTATTACCATCCATGTTACATGATTAATACTGTGAATACTAATTCTGGAAGGAACTACTTGAGGCACCATGATGTCTACATTTTTGGGCATACCTACTATTGGGCTATGATGTTCACTAATAATGAGATTACAGATGGC